GCTTTGCCTCCAGCACCATGACTGCTAACACCTGAGAGGGCACGCTGACTTCACAGAAACCCGCGAGGGAGAGTCTGTTATTGACGGGCCATTTACAATGAGGAAATTGAGGCGCAGAGACACGTGCAGTCACTCTGCCAAGAGGACAGCTGGGCAGGGATCGACCTAGACCTGAGCATCCTCCTCCCCAGCATCGGCCTGTGAGCTGGGAGCTGCGAGTATGGGAGGCTCCTGGTCCCCAACACTGCATCCACACTGCACGAGTTCCTCCTCCTGCCTCCTGCTCTGCCAGCTTTCCCAGCCTTCTTGGAGCCTAAAAGTTACACAATCCCATTTTTTCTGAATTATGCTTCAGTAAAAGTAAATAAATCACTTCCTGTGAGGGGCTACAGCATCCACCTCGCTGTCACAGCCAGTGGACATTGTGTGGCATCGTTTTGGATGCTCAGGGACATTTTTGACTCGGACCTCGAGTCTCAATCCTGTCTCCACACAGTAGGAATTCCTGCATGTTCAGTGTTCCCTCCCATTGCATCCAACTTTCTCTGGCATGCCCACACGAGGCGCTCAGATACCTCCCACGGCTGACCAGGGTCCGTGCTGGCCAATGTGTATCCACATGTAACCTCTGGGCAGCCCTCCCCACTGCCAGGGTCTCTTTGCAGAGCCCTCTGCATGCCTCCCCTCCTGTGGGGCAGGCCCGCTGCTCCCATGAGGGCCGCCCAGACCTTCAGGCCCCAGCAGGCCAGGCCGTCTCTGTGTGGCTTGAGGTGGCAGGAGATGCCTGGCAGGCACCAGCCCCTCAGAGGCTGGGCGCTGTGTCTGGAGGCCCCCTGGCCCTCGAGCGTCCACCTGGCTCTGATTTCAGGGAGTGATTTACTCCCCCCCGGCCCCATGATGTGGATGGAGTCCCAGTTTTTGTCCTTGACACATTTCACTGTCTATTGGATACTGGGATCCGGGGGCAGGGAGTCCATCCTGGGCCTGCAGACTGCCTGCAGAGGCCTGGCTGGGGCCCTGCTGCTCAACAGTGAGGTCGACACGGTAGGTGTCCACCTTGGCTGCACAAGAAAATTTAAAACACCCATGTGCCATCTGCACACCCATCCCAGTTTCTGAGTGAATCGTTCTGGCACGGGGCATCGGCACTTTCACACCTCCCAGCTCCTATATTGGGCGGTCAGGTCTGGAAACCACTGAGATACCAGTGGTCTCCATCAGCACTGAGGCCCAGCGGGGCTGAGAACCAGGTCATCTCCTCACAGAGGACACACATCCTCCCAAACACTACCCCCAAGGTATTGCTCAGCTCTACAATGCATGGAGCCTCAACGTCCTGGCCAGGGGTGGCCTCGGGCAGAACAGGCGACCATCAGCTGGGGTCATGGAGGGTGTGCTGTGTGCTGGACTTACAGGTTTGGGGAAACGCTCTGTCCACGGAGATTCAAGGCCTGGCCTCTCATCTTGTGGGCCCGGCACAAATTAGAGGGACAGACCCCGATCTGAGCCCCAAATCTTGTCCGTGCCTGTGTCGGCTCCTCTTCCCTGAGGCTCTCGCTGGAGGCGCCTGGTCCCCTGGAACGGGCAGCTGCCCTGGGTGACCATCTGGATCTCCGCGGAGAACGAAGGAGAAGCTTACGGACGGCTTAGCGCTGCGTGCGGATGGAGCCAGTCCCAGGTGCGATTTTGGCTGCCTTCTTGTAAAGAGTCCGTCTCCCCCGCTCTCTCAGGAGGCCAGATGAGGGGGCGATCCAGCGGGAACAGCGAGCTGGGGGCACGCTGAGTGGGCTGCGCCCCGCCTCCCGGACCTTCTCCCCAGGTACCCCCACACCGCCTTCTCCAAACCCTCCGGGGTGATCAGATGACGCTGCTGAGTGCCTGCCAACTGCTCACCTTTTTCTGCCTGGTCACCTCGTCATAAATCCTCCTCCCCAAATGGTTTTTCGCCCGTACCTTTCATTTCCTTTACCGTGTCACCTGTTCCCCTTGGACCCGGCGCTGCTTGACACGCGGGCGTGCCTCATTCAGCTTTATAAGTGCTCAGTGCCAGAGCCGTGTTCCCACGCAGGAGGTGGTCCCTGGGTGTAGGCTGGATGGAGGCGGGCGGAGGCAGCCGCTGGCCTCAGAGGCGGCTGTGCAGGCGGTCCTTCTGGGGCTTCCCCGGAGAAGCTCCCCAGCGCGGACCTAGGACAGCGTGGGCAGAGGGGGCTGCTTCTCCGCTCCCGGCCGGCGGCACCCGCCGCGGCCCCGGGCCCCAGGCGGGCAGGGCAGAGCCGGGAAGGCGCCCAGGCTTGCGGCAGCTACGACAGCCGCTCCTGTGTGCAGCGCCTGCGCCGGCCTCCGCCACTGTCACCAGGAAGCAGCGGGGGGCACACGCCCTTGTTCTCTCCACAGCAGCATCGCAGTCACAACTGCAAACAGCTGCGTCTAGCTTTTTAAAAGTTATAAATGTCTACTTTCCTGGTTCATTTGGGGGTAAATATTAAAGGAACCTAAACATGATGTCCAAATATCATAGGGCCAAGTAATGTCCATGACGCAAAAATAAATGATAGGGGCCGGCCGGTGCCTTAGGGGTTAAGTGTCCATGCTCGGCTACTGGTGCCCGGGTTGGAACCGGGGAGCCCACCTACCGCTTCTCCGCCATGCTGAGGCCATGTCCCACATACAGCAACTAGAAGGATGTGCAGCTATGACATACAACTATCTACTGGGGCTTCGGGGGAAAAAAAAGGAGGAGGATTGGCAACAGATGTTAGCTCAGAGCCGGTCTTCCTCAGCAAAAAGAGGAGGATTAGCATGGATGTTAGCTCAGGGCCGATCTTCCTCACAAATAAATAAATAAATAAATAAATAAATAAATAAATAAATGATAGAATTCTATGTAGAAAAAACACATAATCACCTCTGAAATGTCGTCTGGTTAAAGGTGCATTCTCTCTGCTTTCCTTAGTCTAGGTGCATTATACTAAAAATTATATATTTTTTCACTTCTGCCCATTTTCTGCTATAGGAGTTATGAATTTTCCATCTATATCACTTCCTTGGTCTATAGGTAGTTTCTTACAGCCCTGTGCTGAACAAAGAACGTTTAAGCCCACCGCTGGGTTTCTCTTTGTCAAACAGCATCTTTTACAGGGAAATCTTGAACTGGGATACTGTTATAATTTCAACTGTTTCGAGAGCCAAATTGCCGCTGAGGCTTGAGCAGACTGCACAAGAGGGTGTCCGGTGCGGAGCCACACGGAACACTCCTTCCGGGTGCCCCTCATTCCCTGCAGAGGAGCCTCTTCCCTGATCTGCTCTGTTACTTTTTCTCCTGCCGATCCATCTTTTCCAAGTCTTCTTTCTTCCCCCATGTTCTCCCTCTCAGCTGCCGTTTACCATTCTCCTCCCTACCACATCCTGCCTCTTCCTCTACCCACTACTTTCATTTTTATTTTCTCTCTCTCTGCTTCCATCTGGTACCATTTTTATCCCTACAGATAAAACTTTGTACTCTAGTTATATTTTTTGCCTTTTACATCTACTCCATTTTTTCCATAAAATTTAATTTAAAAAAAAACTTCCCTCAGGTGCTAACCTGCAGTGGCTGTCACATTTGATGCCGCATGGCCATCAACTCCCTGGAAACTGGCAGGTGCACAGATTTCACCTGTGCGGGCTCTGTGCTCCATGCCCAGGGATCCGGGACTCTCCCCTTCCACTCACTGGGCTTCTCACCTGTTCCAGGGCAAGGATGGCGATGCTGTGCTGAGTAGCAGTGTCATAGTTCCATCTACAACTTCATGTCAGACATCACCCAAAGCTAAAGCAAGAATTAATGTCTCTCATCATCTGACCTGAGATCTCGACTAGCTCTGCCCTCTGGATTTTTCCGAGAGAAAAAGAGAATCCTTCCTATCATGGAAGCGATGAGCTTTGCTGGTGGAGCTGTTACGCTGGTGTGTCCAACCACTGTTCTTGTCTGCGTGGAGAAGCAGACTGCTGTCTCCCCCGCCTGCCGTCCCCCCACGGGGACTCTGCTCCTGGGATGTCCCTCAGCCTGCAGCTCAGCTGACTGGCCAAGGAGGAGGTCACAGGGATCACAGAATCCAGAATCAAAAGGTCTGCTTTGAATCTCAGGTCTGCCTTTAGTCACTGTGTCCCCAGGCAAGTGAGAAGCCTGATCTTGCTGGCCTCACTTCCTGAGACCATAAAGTGAGGATAATAATCTCACAAATTTGAGTGGAGCTTTTATATATATATACACCAATCGAAAATCTGTCACTCAAATAAATCACATTAAATATATATATGTGTGTGTGTATACACATAGCCAGTTCTGGTGGTCTCGTGGTTAAGATTCGGCACTCTCACTGCCACGGCCCGGGGTTCGTTTCCCAGTCAGGGAACCACACCACTCATCTTTTGGTTGTTTTGCTGTGGTGGCTGCCTGTGCTCTGATGCTGAAAGCTCTGCCATTGGTGTTTCAAATACCAGCAAGTTCACCCATGGCGGACAGATTTCAGCAGAGCTTCCAGACTAAGACAGACCAGGAAGAAGGACCTGGCTACTCACTTCCAAAAGGATTTGCCATGAAAATCTTATGAATAGCAGTGGAGCATTGTCTGATATAGAGCCAGAAGGTGAGAGGACGATGCAAAAAGACTGGGTAGGGTTCCATTCTGCTGTACACAGGGTCAGTAGGAGTTGAGATTGACTCAACAACACTAACAACAAATCTACACATACATATATATTTAATGTGAGACTATATATAACACATCAAGTGTAGGGGTTAGTACTGAGAAGAAATTCAATTATTAAACTTTATTTTTTGTCAATTATTATTTTTAATTTCCAAGAGTCTTTCTTATTCTGTAATTTTTCCTTTACTATAGCATCCTGCCCTTGCCTTCTGGATGCAGTTCTGGAAGGATGGTACGTGAAGCCTGTGGTGGTTGTAATTTTTTTCCAAACTCCTATTCATCTTGTCTGTCAGATTCATGCTTCAGATTTTCCTCAAGGGTCTGTTCACATCTAAGAACCAGAGAGTGGGAAACTCTGTGGATGCGAATTGCCCTTGTCAACTGGCAGGATCCACTTTAGGTGGAGTGGACAGAAAATTGATTGATTTGGAGGGTTCAGTAAATGCCGAAATGAGCAGGGCTTTGCTCTGGAGTGCCGACCTCCATAGCAGCTGCTCCAACTCTGCGCGGAAGGTGTTCAGTTTATTTAGAGATGGGCCCTTTGATTTGCCAGTGCCGAGGGGGCACGTGCTAGGGGAAGGGGCAGCATCAACCCTTCTGCCCACCGGCTGGCATCAGCTCCCCTACTTGAGCCGTAGCCCTCCTGCTTTCCCACGCCGCTGCTCCTCTAGCGCTCTGCTATCTCTATCTGTCTATAGATAGATTATGTTGCATCTATCAGCACCTTCACCTTCCTGCCCCAGCCCACCCTGGGCTCACCCTGGGCTGGATCCCTCCACCCCACTGCACCATGCCGCACTCCTCCACAGGTTTCCATCTTCCAGAAATGGATTGGAGTTTCCCGGTTGATGGTAACCCACCCTACCTCTTCTCCTCATTCCCTCACCACCATCCTAACGAGAATTGCGGGGGATGGATGGTGGGTGTGGGCGCTCAGTCCACCATCCTGAGTCAGATCCCACAGAGGGATGTCTTCAAGGCCATTTGAACTGACATGCTCTTCCGTCTTACAAACGTTAACCTATGGATGCTGGCTTAACACAAGAGGTCTACCGCGATTCGAATGGCTAATCGAGACGCCCTCTTTCCTCAGTGCACTGGCTCCTAGATTACTTGATCCTCATTGCCTCACGCTCATGAGGTGATGGCCCAACACACAGCTGACCGTGGCATTCCCTGCTGAAAACTTTTCCCTCAAAGTCCAAACTCTCAGCATTTGAGGCTCTTCATAACCTGACACCAATGTGTGTTTCCAGACTCACTCTCTTCAATTATCCCGAGTGTCCTACATACACTGTGTATGCATGACCTGATTCTGTCCTTGAAGAGTCGGGAACGATCTTCCCTAGTTTTCTCCTTGGCCAGTTTCTACCATCCCTGATGCCAATTCCTCCTCTAAGCTGTCATGGATGCTTTCTAGGCACCTGCAGAGGAGCACTTACCTTATTTTGTTGTCGTCTTCTAGTTACTGATCATTGTCCCCAGCTAGACACAGCATCCTGAGAGTAAGAAAATTGCCAAAGAAAATGTTTTCAGCACCCGATTGTGTTGCATCTTTGTGGCCTCCAACCTGGGGTGATCCTCATTTCACAGTGTGCCCCCCACCCAGAGCATTGGCCCATTACTATCTGTGACATCCAAGGCCACGTGCTGAGGCCAAGCCTCCAGCTGGAACCTTGGCCATTCAAGCCAGTGCAGACACTTCTTAGGCTTCAGGAGTTATTTAAAGTAGGAGGGCAGGGGATAGGTCTACCAGGGATACTAGGCTGAGGGACCTGCTCATCAAAAGTGTGTTGGGCTCCCAGGTTCCTGCTTTGCACAGTCATGCAGACGGCCCCCACCTCAGAGCACACGCAGGATGGCTAGCTGGCTCCAGGGGTTGCCACTTCCCTTACCAGGTGCCTCTTTGATCCTGGACTGTGTCTTAGCTTCATGTTTGCCACCCACTGAGCTTGGTTAAGGCTACCCGGTTCATCTCATTTGGTTTCAAAATCTTTTGTACCCAATTCACGTAATAAAGTGTATTCAGTAGGTTCAAGCAGAAAGCAATTGTGTTTTTCTCAATACTGCCCTTTTAAACAAGATCTTTAACTCACGGTTTCAGTTTCAAGCAGGCCCTATAGCTTTTAACACAGATAATAAAACCTGGGCTATTTCCAGGTATTGAAAATCCAGTTTGGTCCCTTCTCGGGTTGTGTTCTCTCATTCCTCCTCCAGCTGGGTCTGAATTTGGCTTGAGAAAGGGGACAGGGTCAACATTTTCCCTCTGTACCCACTATTATGGGCTGAATTGTGTCCCCCACCATTCAGATATTGAAGCCTTAACCCTCAGTATGACTGTATTTGGAGATGGGGCCTTTAGGGAGGTAATGAAGGTTAAATGAGGTCCTAAGGGTGGGTCCTGATGCAATAGGACTGGTGTCCTTACAAGAAGAGGAAGAGACTCCAGAGGTCACTCTCTCTCTGCACACACACAGAGGGAAGATCAGGTGAGGAGACAGCAAGGAGGTCTACACGCCATCTACACGGCAAGGAGAGAGGTCTCAGGAGGAACCAACCCTACCAGCACCTTGATCTTGGACTTCCAGCCTCCAGAACTGTGAGGAAATAAAGGACTGTTGTTGAAGCCGCCCAGTCTGTCGTACTTTGTTACAGCAGCTGAGCTGACTGAGACACCCGCCGTGCCCTTCTCCTCCTGCCTCGTTTCTCACTCTTGCTTCTGGTTTCTCCAGGGAGGGCAGGGGGGAG